TGACATAAACTCCATAGTGCAATATAAAAACTACTCAGTGCAAATTCCCAGTCACCCAGTGCAAAACAACAACGAAATAAGCTATTTAGTGCATCACAACATGCCTCTGTCCCTGCAGGCTTTTATCATCCCCCAGCTGCCCCACCTCGCTGGCCCCTTCCTTTGCTGACAGCTCTGCCTCCTGCCTGCCCCTGCCTGGCCACACAAAGCCTTGGGGTGCTCCAGGCTCCTTCTGGGGGACGTGTAGCACCACAGCCCTGACCTCAGAGGGAAATTCCTTTCTCCTTGTGTCCAGTCTGGACCTCCCCAGCTGCCCTTGATGTCATTATTTCTTTTTCAGGCTGTTTTAATCAATGAGGAAAAGCTCCAGCATCTCCCTTCACTCCCTCTCAGGCTACTCCTGTGCTGTCCCCCGTCTCCACACCACTGAGCCCAGGGCCCTCAGCCTCTTCCTGATGGCTATTTGACAAGGCCTCCAAACCCAGTCTTGGGAGATTGTTGGGTCCTCTCCAAGATCTGTGAGAAACATAGTGGTCTAAGTCCAAGAAAAATGAAGCATTATTTTCTCCCAAATCTTGCAGTGACAAAACAAGGGTCAATATCTTTAAACTGAATGAGGGTGGATCTACAGGAGGAAGTATTTTACAATGAGTGGCACAAAACTGCAACTGTTTTTCGAGAGAAGTGAATGTCCCATCCCAGGAATTATCCAAGTTCAGGAGCTTTGTACAACCTGATACAGTGAAACTCCCTCCCCAAGGATGGAATTCCTGTTGTGTGGGTTCTGTGATGTGCTTGGTGCCCTCACAATGCTTCTGGCCAGAATGCCTGCTGAGGGCCAGCTAGGCTGCTAAGGGGCAGTGACCTCACAGCCTCACAGCCATCACCATTGCAGCCCTGTGTCCTGGGCCTGGCTCTCTCCTTTCTTCTGCCCCTGTCTCTGCTGGGATGAACAGTTTTGTCATTAATATCTTGTCTCCAAGGTGCTGGGCCAAATTTCTTCCCAGTCAGGCTCCTGGAGCAGAAGTGGTTTTTCAGAGCCCAGCCAGGAATGAGCCCAGAGGCAGCAGCTCTGCAGTGGTGGCCACCAGGCTGGGTTGCCAAGGGAGGCTTCTGGCCATGGCCTGCAAGCAGCTGCTGCTGCTGCCAAGGTGCCTTTGGTGCCTCGGGCTCTCCCAGGCACAACTCCCAGCACGGCACTCTGCCTGTGGCGTTGCATTTTAGTTACCAAACGCACCACAACATCTGCCTTTGTGCCCGAGGCCTTCCCTGTGTTGGAGTTGGCCTGGGGCCTTTCCTGCAAGGAGAAGGGATCTGCCTTGGTCATGGCACAGGAAAAGCAGTTCCTGCTGGAGCAGGAAGCTCTGCCTGAAATAGGTTCAAACAAGTCCAGCAAGACCTTGTTTGCAAAGCCCCCCCATGGGAAATGAAGGCTGGGGGGGGGGGGGGGCGGTCACACTGCTTTTAGGGTGAATAGTGCTGAAACCAGCTTGACTCCTTCATCCCAAAGTTCAACATCCTGAGGGGGAGCTGAAGCTGTGGCAAAGCTAGAAAAATCCCCAGAGAAAGGAACAACCAAGTGACACCGAGAGCTTCTGCAGAGCTGCTGAGCTGGCCCAGCCTGGGCACATCTGACTGACAGGGCAGCACTTCAGACAAGCAAAGCCCTGTCCCAGATTTTAACGGCAGCATCTCCTGATATTTCCCTTCTTGAGGGGGTGTGGACATTCCTCCCTGGAGTGGGGATGCCACTCAAGGTCACTGCTTGAGGCTGAGCCAAAAGGATTTGCACATGGTCATTGGCCTGGGGGAATGACATCAATCACTGCTTAATAACTTGGTTTTGCTTCAATACAATTGCTTCAAAATTGCTTCCTAGAATTATAATAGTTGCTACAGCTCCTGCACAGAGATGTAAATATTTCTAAATAAGGTCTTTTTGTCTAGTCATAATCATAATCAGTTGTATCTATACTTATATAGGTATATCTGGTGTTCCACCAGTAATCCTGCGGGACAAATTCCATAAAGCTTCAACTACATCTGTCTAATCCTTTACATATAAACCCTTGACAAAGTCTGGGGCTGGCATTGGATTCTGCCACTCCCAGGGTCCTCTCACAGAAGTCTAGAAAGCCTGGGGGTCCTGGAGGGGTTTTGAGGTCTGGGGGGGTGTTGTGGGTCCTTTCTGCACCTCGTGACCCAAGAGGATCTTCTCTAATAAACTTTGCCTGAAGCTCCCACTCTGTCCATGACAGGAACCATGTGAGTGCCTGTGACACCCTGACTCTTTGGCAGCCTGGGGACTCCTGGGATGTCACTGAGGAGCCCCTGTGAGTGCCTGTGACAGATCAGTGCCTAAACAGCCCAAAGTCCCCTGGGATGTTACCATGTGACAGCTGTGACTGCCTCTGACCACACGGCTCTTTATCATCCCCAGAACCCTCGGGGAGGTCTCCATGGACCCCCTGTCTCTGCCTGTGACATTCCAGCTCTTGAACAGCCTGGAGAGCCTTGAAATGTCCCCAAGGAAGCCCTCTGAGTGCTTGTGACAAATTGGCTCCTTAGCAGGCAACCATCACCAGGCCCCATTGCTATGGTCGGTTTCCATGGCAACCATCACCAGGCCCCATTGCTATGGTCAATTTCCATGGCAACCATCACTGGGACCCGTTGCTATGGTCACTCCCTTGGCAACTCCATGGAGACTCAATGCTGGGGTGGTTGCCATGGACACCAGCTCAGGCCTGGAGCCAGTCCATTGCCATGGCAACCATCTGCTGTCCATTCTGAGGGTCATGGTGAAGCGACACATGGAATAAATAAATAGACTCCACAACTCGGGGTAGTTATGGAGTGGGTATGTATTGTCAGCGCCCGGCACGAGTGAGATATTTCTCAAAGACTTGTGCACTGAGCTTTAGTCTGACCCAAACTTTTATTCCCAAAGGTGTTCCATATGCAGTACATTGCACAACTTTTCTATGCATATTCAACTTCTGGCCCCGCCTGCTCTCGTCTCTCATGCGAAATAGGTCCACGCCCTTCTGGGCACAAGTAGTTTGCTGTGGTGGTCCCACGGGGGTCCCTGGTGGTCTCTGGGTCTGAAGGCTGCGGGTCTTCCTCATGTCTGAACTTTTGAACCCTTCCTCTCTGCGCATGTACTTTTGGTGTCTTGGTGCTTATCTGTGTATCTCTGACAGCTGGGAGACATACCAGCGCCCTTATCTGGGTTTCTTGCATTCTTGGGTACTGTTTATTTATGTAAGAAGCTTCAGAAATTTACATTTCCTTTGGCCTTTGACCTATGGTAGAGATTTCTTAAGTAAAAGGTTAAAATTCAACACATAATTTTACAAGCTAAAATATAAATGCTTAATTCATTTTGTTAACTTAAGTGAATTCTAAAAATCTCTGTTTCAATGGGATCCCAGAATCACAGAATTGGCTGAGTTGGGAGGGACCCATGAGGATCCTCAAGCACAACTCCTGGCCCTGCCCAAAAATGCCAGCCGGGGCCTGACAGCGGTGTTCAAACCCTGCTGGAGCTCAGAGAGCCCTGGAGCTGTGACCCTTCCCTGGGGAGCCTGGGCAGTGCCCCAGCAGCCTCTGGGCAAAAACCTTTCCCCGAGATCCAACCTCAGCCTGCCCCGACTCAGCTGCAGCCGCTCCCTGCACTCCTGTCCCTGGGCACCAGAGTGAAGAGGTTCCCTCAGCCCCAGCCAGAGACCCGCTCCCAAGGCTGCTGCCATGGCCACCAGGGCTGGCACCAGCTGCGATGCTCGGTTTCCACAGGCCGGGATTCAGGAATGGGATTCCCCAATTTCCTGCTCCCGCTAAAACCGCGCTGCCGCTCGCTGCCCTCCCGCCTCCCATGGAAAGCACAAAAGGCAAAGATCCTGAGCTGGGATTGGAACAATTTAATGGGAACAGAAACAGGATAAGGAACAAAGAGGAGCAGCAACAATATTGATAACAGGAGGAATAAGACAAAGAAATTATTTACAGGGAAAACTGCAACAGCACCGACCAGCTCTTCCTGACTACACAGAATAGAAAAAATCCCCGGTCCCATTCGGGTTCCCTGTCCCCATTACCGGTCCCTATCCCCATTCCCGCTCCCTGTCCCCATTCCCTGTCCCCATTCCCATTCCCTGTCCCCATTCCCGCTCTCGGTCTCCATTCCCTGTCCCCATTCCCGCTCCCTGTCCCCATTCCCGCTCCCGGTCTCCATTCCCTGTCCCCATTCCCGCTCCCTGTCCCCATTCCCGTCCCCGTTCCCTCTCGCCGGACGCCGCCGCCATCGCTCCAGCCCCGCCCCCGGCCCTCACGTGACCGAAGAAACCCCGCGCTGCCCCGCCCACCAATCCCAGCGCGCGATCGCTCAGTGATTTGCATAACCACGCCCTTCGCCTTGCCCCTGCCCCCCGCCGGCTGCAGCCGCGTCCGGGCGCTGTTTGCTCCCAGTTCCCTCCCAGTGCTCCCAGTCAGAGCGGTGCCGGGAGGGAAAGCGCTCCCAGTTCCCTCCCAGCGCTCCCAGTCAGAGCGGTGCCGGGAGGGAAAGCGCTCCCAGTTCCCTCCCAGTGCTCCCAGTCAGAGCGGTGCCGGGAGGGAAAGCGCTCCCAGTTCCCTCCCAGTGCTCCCAGTCAGAGCGGTGCCGGGAGGGAAAGCGCTCCCAGTTCCCTCCCAGTGCTCCCAGTCAGAGCGGTGCCGGGAGGGAAAGCGCTCCCAGTTCCCTCCCAGTGCTCCCAGTCAGAGCGGTGCCGGGAGGGAAAGCGCTCCCAGTTCCCTCCCAGTGCTCCCAGTCAGAGCGGTGCCGGGAGGGAAAGCGCTCCCAGTTCCCTCCCAGTGCTCCCAGTCAGAGCGGTGCCGGGAGGGAAAGCGCTCCCAGTTCCCTCCCAGTGCTCCCAGTCAGAGCGGTGCCGGGAGGGAAAGCGCTCCCAGTTCCCTCCCAGTGCTCCCAGTCAGAGCGGTGCCGGGAGGGAAAGCGCTCCCAGTTCCCTCCCAGTGCTCCCAGTCAGAGCGGTGCCGGGAGGGAAAGCGCTCCCAGTTCCCTCCCAGTGCTCCCAGTCAGAGCGGTGCCGGGAGGGAAAGCGCTCCCAGTTCCCTCCCAGTGCTCCCAGTCAGAGCGGTGCCGGGAGGGAAAGCGCTCCCAGTTCCTTCCCGGTGCTCTCAGGATCGCTCCCAGCGCCGCACGGGCCGGGGCCGCTTTGGGAACCCCCTCAGGACAGAGCGCGGCCGCTTTTGGGTGTCGGCACCGCCCGGGCCGGGCTGGGAGCGGAGGAGGAGCGGGAGGAAGAGGAGGGACAGAGAAGGAGGAAGAGGAGGAGCTGCGGGAGGAAAAGCAGCAGCACCTGGAGAATCGCGCTATTGTTCGCAGCTGCCCCGGCTCCCGCTGCATCGCCCTCCTCGGAGCCCGCAGGTGAGCGGGGAGCGGGAGCTCCCCCCAAATCCATCGGGGAGGTCTCCGGGAGGGTTTTTTTTTTGCGGGGCAGGGGATGTTTGGATCTTGCAGGACCCCAAAGCTGTACTGGAAATGCCCCTGGAGGGATCTTGGCGGGTCCCACGTGGCGATCGCCCGGTAGCGGAGGACCCGGGGTGATGCCGGTTTGGGGATCCCCGGGAGAGCCCCGGGGAACGCGGGAGCCCCGGAGCGGGGAGAGCGCAGAGGGGCGATATCGCCGGCCGGGGGACTGGGTACAAATCACGAACGGGACGGGACTGCTGAGGAACGCGTCTCGAGCTGTTTGTTTTCCAGCATCAGTCTCATTACATGGTTATGACAATGGGAAGATGCCAGCAGTTCACATCCCAGGCAGCAGACAAAGAACTTAATGTTACAACTTATTTTAAAAGCTTTTTGACCAATCACACAAAGCAAAAGCATATTGACAGTAGTTCTATCCAGTCACTATAAGCACAAGTACCTTTGGTTAAAACAATGCTTGCTTATTTCGAATACAATACCTGCTTGCAAGCCTTAAGACACAATGCACAGAGCTCCACTATTAAGCTTAGAACTTCCTAATATCTTCCTAGATGTGAAAAATTCCAATCACTTGTTTTAAAATTTTAAAAGTTTAATAGTAATAAAATAGTTATAAAAACAGTAATAAAAATTAGAGCAATAAGAATTTGGACAATCGGAGTTAGGACAATAAAGGACAATAAAAGCAAAGAATTATGTATGTCCAGATGCTCTCAGGCACTAAGCCACGACTAGCATGCCTTGTGTGCAAAGGATTAACCCTTAAAAGCAATAGTCTGTTGTGTATTCATATATCTCATACATGATGCATAAATTCTGTCGAAGCAAAGAACTGATCTGTGATTAGTGTCAACGTCTTCCTCTTGATCCTGTGGTGTCTTCAGGGCTGAGCAAAGCAGGAAGAGGTTAATTTCTTCTGATAAGGGAGCCATAAATTCTTTTTCTCTGGAAGATTTAGATGTCCTGTGGCTGCTATCTTGATGCAAGTACCTCATTCCTTTCTTCCCACGTACAAAGTTTCTATTTTGACTACAAAAGCTCCATTTTAACTACCAAACTACATTTACCATACTATTAAAATGTTAATACAGCACTACTAATCAATATAACGTAATACATATAGTAAATATCTGCATAGAGCCATCTAATAAACACTTTTCACAGTAGATATCCTTTTCTATAACTTAGGGAGTTATTCTGGCCAAGTGTTAATACACTGACCATTGTTCTGTTTGTCCTTACTCTTCTGCTTCTTGTGTAATTTTTCTGCTGACAACTCTTTCGTCTACTGCTTAGCTCTAATTGCTGTTCTGCTGTCTCTGAGGCCTTCCTTTTGCAACTTGCTCAAAACCCTCTGATTTTAAGGGTTCCCACAGGGCGATTACAGAGCTGGAGCACCCCCGGCAGCCTGGAGCGGTGGGGGTGGCCAGGGATGAGCGGGCTCCGGGGCCCCCGAGGCTGGAAGGGGCGCTGACTTCTCCAGCTGTACTTGAGCAGTGGGACCATCAAAGCCAACGCACTCAGGCCTTGTTTTCACCCTCTAAACCAGGATTTCCTATTCCCAAACCTTGGCCCAATTGAGAAGGAGGAGGCTGCGAGGAGGAGGAAGATGGCCCGGGAGCCCCAGGCAGGTGAGGAGGAAGTCAGTGCCTCTTTCCCCCTGTCTCCTGCTCCATCTTCCAGCCCAGCCTGGCTCCCAGCTGCAGGACAACGCTGCAGCCAATGCTGTCCTGCTGGGGATGCACTGGGGGAATCTCCTTGCCCTTCCCTGTGGCACGGAGGCAAATCCCATCCTCTCCTTGTCCTTCCTCCCCCAGACAAGGAGCTGAGGATGGAGACCAATGAGGACAAATCCCCACAGCAGAACCTCATGGAAGAGGCCATTTTGGGTGGCTCCATGGCACAGGACTCCAATGGAGAGGAAAAGCCCCAGAGATCTTGCATGAGGAGAGGCTGCAAACACAGATCACAGGGATCCGAGGAGGAAAAACCCACCCTGGGCCAGGGAGGCGGCCAGAGCTCAGAGCTGGGGGTCCATGAGAAGGTTCACAGTAAGAAGAAGCCCAAGTGCTCGGAATGTGGGAAGAGCTTCAGGTGGAAATCCGAACTGATCATGCACTGGAGAATCCACACAGGGGAACGGCCCTATGAGTGTGGGGAGTGTGGGAAGAGCTTCATCTTGAAGTCCGAACTGACCAGACACAAGAGGACCCACACAGGAGAACGGCCCTATGAGTGTCCTGAGTGTGGGAAGAGCTTCTATGAGCGTGCCAGACTGGTCATACACCAGAGGAGCCACACGGGCGAGAAGCCCTACAAGTGTGGGGAGTGTGGGAAGAGCTTCAGGACAAGCTCTCAAGTGATCAGACACAAGAAGATCCACACAGGAGAACGACCCTACAAGTGTCCCGAGTGTGAGAAGAGCTTCTACGAGCGTGCTGACCTGGTCATACACCAGAGGAGCCACACTGGGGAGAGGCCCTACAAGTGCGGGAATTGTGGGAAGAGCTTCAGCCATAGGTCCAGCCTGAGCTGCCACATGGTAATCCACTCGGGGGCGAGGCCCTATGAGTGTGGGCAGTGTGGGAAGAGCTTCAGGAGGAGCTACGAACTGACCAGACACCAGCGGAGCAGCACAGGGAAACAGCCCTACAAGTGTCCCGAGTGTGGGAAGAGCTTCTGTGAGCGTGCTGACCTGGTCAGACACCAGAGGACCCACATCGGGGAAGGGCCCTATGAGTGTCCTGAGTGTGGGAAGAGCTTCTGCAAGCATGCTGACCTGGTCGGACACCAGAAGACCCACAGGGGGGAGAGGCCCTACGAGTGTGATAAATGCAGGAAGAGGTTTATGAAGAGCACCATTCTCCTCAGGCATCAGCTCATTCACTCAGATGAGAGGCCCTTCCGCTGCCCCTACTGCGGGAAGGGCTTCAAGCGCAGCTGCACCCTCACCATCCACCGGAGGAGCCACACGGGGGAGAGGCCCTACGAGTGCGATAAATGCAGGAAGAGGTTTCTGACCAGCTCCAGTCTCCTCCTGCACCAACGGATTCACACGGATGAGAGGCCCTTCCGCTGCCCTGATTGTAGGAAGGGCTTCCAGCGCAACTGCACCCTCCTCAGGCACCAGCGCATCCACACTGGGGAGAGGCCCTACAAGTGTCCTGAGTGTGGGAAGAGCTTCTCACAGAGTGGTAACTTGACCAAACACCGACAGAGCCACCAGTAAGGGAAGCTCTGTGAGTGCCCCGAATGCAGGAAGAGCTTTGTGCACTGCTCCAAGTCCATCCCCCATGGGAAGATCTGCTCTGAATGATCCCCAGTGTGTCCTGGTGGGCAGAGCCCTTGTGATCCGTGGTGCCAGTGATCTGTGTTTGGAAAACACCTGCCTGGGGGCCCCAAATCCTCCTGGCTCCCCATGGGCACCTGCACACATCCACAGGCCAACATCAGAAATCCCTTGTGGAGAGCTGATTTGTTTACTTCTGACCCCAGAAAGATGTCACTTTTTGCTTCTTCTGGTGGCATCAAGCAACACTGGATGGCTTTGAAGGTCTTCTCCAACATAAATCCATTGTTTTAATTCTCTCTGGCCCTTGGGGATCTTCTGCAGCTAAATGGGGACAGACTGGGGCAGACCCCTGATTTTGGAGACAGTTGTCCTGGTTCAAGGCAAATCTGGGAGAGAACCCCGAAAGGGGTTCCTCTAGGAAGCAGATTCAATCAGCCCCTCCCCCCAATCGGTTTGGGATAAATACCTCCTCGGAGAAAAGTGGAAAAGAACTGTTTATTACACAAGCAAACCTAAACAATATTAAACAATAAAACAACTTCTTGCCACTCCAAGAGAGAGAGACAAACTCGGAAAAATCCCCTGGGTTGCAGCTTGGCTCACTCAGTCTCTGATCAGTCCCTCCAGTGCTGGAAATGCCGCAGCCCAGGCCCGGCCCGCTCAGCCACAGGTGCGATCTGCTGCTGCTCTTCTGGTGCTCAGTCCAGAGCAGGTTTGAGCAGGTCCAAAGGAAGGGAAAAAAAAGCCACAGTCCAGGGAACTTCTTTGCCTCAGCTAGCTAAAACTAACTAAAAGCAAAGGAGAGCTCTGTCCTGCTGTCTGTCCACAGACAACAAAGGCCAGGAGCAGGAATGTGGAGGAGGGAGTGCAGTTCTTGAAAACAAGCTCTGCACTTCCTCTCCGCCCCTTTACTCTTGGAACAAGTCTTAAAGGTGCAAAACTTATTATTCAGCATAAACAGAACAGACAACTGGGGATAAAAGCATCATACAGTCAACCCAGGACAACGGTGATGTGGAAACCCCTCCAGAAAAGGTTCTTCCCACCCACCCAAGCACGTGGATGCTCTGCTGGCAGGGACAGGTAAATCCTTTTGTTTTGGCCTTGAGACGAAAAGGTTTCTGTTGATCCCTTTGAGACATGTTAGGGTTAGGGTTAGGAATTAACTTGGGTCAGAAATCCATTTCAGATTTTGGTGAAGTGTGCTGCCTTGAATTGTTTAGTCTGTAGAGTCTGTTAATTTGCTGTGCTGTAGCTTGCAAAACTGCTTCAAACAAGATGAAAGGAATGTGAACTTCCAAGCTAGAGGAAGATAAGAGGGGCCCCTTGGACCTTGAAACAAGAAGGAAACCAGAACTGAGGCTGCAGGAGAGGGATGGACAACCAGAGAACTAATTGTAATGCAAAACTAGTAAATGAATATGCATTAACCTATTTCAAAACTTAATGCATGTGCAACAAGTTGGGGGACAAAGGGGGTGTCTGGACTCTTGGGGCGTGCACATGCCTTTGGAAATTATTCCGCTTGTGCCTGGCGTTGTAATAAACATACCACTTTTTAACTTTAATTAGTTTAAGAGTATTCTGTCCATGCATCACCTTTGAAAGCTCTGGAATTGGGGTAATAATAAAGACATTGAACTAGGGCATCGATGGGGACATGTGGGGGACAATGGCATATAAGGAGACACAGATATGGGGTCAGCGCCATGGTTGTTACATGTGAGGGCACATGGGGTCATGGCCCTGGGTGGGGACATGAGGGGGCATGGATGGGGACATGAACTGGAACAGCATCAGTGCCACCACCTGTACCACTGCAGTGCCACCAGCACCTTCATCTCGGCCATGGCCAGGCGCTACCAGATGCAGTTCCTGCCACCATGTCCCCACTGTCACCACCACGGTGTCCCAGCCGAATGTTACTGCCCAGCAGGGTGGGACAGGGACCTTGTTCAGCTGGTGGCAAGCGGCCTGGAAGAGTGACAGATACCAGGGTGTCCCAGGGGCTCAGTACTCAGGGGATCCTGACCAACCCTGGGGACAGGCTGGGGACAGGGCAAGGGTCAGAGTCACCCATGGGGTCACATGACCCCATGCTGGGTGTCACTGGAGATGTCCTGGTGGCAGTGTTCCCATAGGTGTGCCAAAGTTGTTCCGTGATGTGTGTGTCCTGGTGGCATCGTGTCCCCTCCCCTCTGTTTGTCCCCATCCCCCACCATGGCTCCCTGTCATCCCTCTGTGTGTCCCTGTCCCTCCCCCGATGTCCCTGTCCCCCACCTTTTGGATCCTTTTCCCCATATTTTGGGTCCTTTCTCCCCTGGTTTGTGTCCCTTCTCCCTGTTCTGGATCCTTTCCCTGTATTTTAACTCCTTCCCCTGTTTTGGGTCACTGTTCCCCTATTTGGGGCCCTTTCCCCCTATTTTGAATCCTTTCCCTCTTTTCCATCCTTCTCCTCAATTTTGGGCATCCTCCCCTTTGACTTTGACAAATTTTGGGGTGCATCCTGCCCTCCAACCCTCTCCCCACCCCTTAACCCCTTCACCCCCCACCCCTGTCCCCCCAGGCCTGTCCCCAGCTGTGTTCCTATCTGTCGCCCCACACCACATGGACTCGGTGCTCACCATCCTGGATGCCCTCAAGTCCCCAGCCCAGGACTCTGGATCTCCTCTTCCAGGAGGTCCAGAGCTGGCCCGGCTTCCAGGAGACACCAGTGGTACCAGGGCTCGAGGTGGGTGGCCTGGTGGGGTTGGTGGGAGAGGGTCTGGGGTCATCTTGGGACTGACCATGGGTCTTGTCCACTCTGCAGCGAGGAGTGGCCATGGCCAGGAAGCCTGGGATGGATGGGAGCAGGAGAGGTTGGACCCTGGTCCAGATGGACACCAGAGCCATGGATCCCACTCTGGATGGACCCTGGTCCCGATGGACATCAGAACTATGGATGCCACCTGGACTCTGGTCTGGACAGCCCCTGGCCCTGCAGCCCCCCAGACTGGCCAGCCCCCAGCCCAGATGACCACCAGCTTGGCCACATCCCAGCCCACCCCACAGGATCACCAGCCCATCCCAGTAGCCCCAACCCCAAAACCTCCCAAAATAAACCCAATTCCAGTGGTGGTCCCTGCAGAGTGAGGGAGAAACTGAGGCACAGCTTGGGAGGATGACTTTGCGGTTACAGGAGGGGACTTTGGGACCCACCATGGAGACTCCAAAATGAGCACCCACCCACTGAACTGTCACCGCAGCACCATGAGACCCCCAGCTGTCACATGAGGGGACTCCAGGAGCCACCATGACCCTGCAGTCCCTTTGAGGGGTGACCCGCAGCGTCCCCCTGCTGTCACCGGCACGTCCTTAGCGGGAGCAGCAGCGTCACTGGGGAGGCAAAGGAGGAGGAGGTGAGGATGGCGTGAGGTGAGTCTCCGTCTGCTTGGCATGGTGGGATCAGAGTTTTTGGGAGACAGCAACAAGCACAAGGAGGCTCCTGCTCTGGGCAGCTGCTGAGGGGCTGGATGTGCTGTGGCTGGCTGCAGGCTGGGAATGTCCTGCCCTCCTGCTCTGCTCCCAAAGGCAGCAGTGATGGGCAGCTCTGGGCACAGCTCTGGGCACAGCCAGCATGGCCTGGGCTCTGTGGGCAGCTGGGACAAGGGGACAGGAGCCTTCAGCTGACGGGCAGTTTCTGGTTTCTCTCCTTGCAGCCGGGCTCTGCGGGTGCTGAGGCTGCTCTGGGCTCTGCCAGGGCTCTGCTGGGCTCTGCCCTGGGCACAGCTGGGCTGGCTCTGCCCTCACATTGCTCTGACAGCTTTGCATCAGACGAGCCCGTTGGAGCACAGTGCCTGAGCTTTCTGCTTTGGCAGGTGAGTGAGACTCCCCTGCAGGCCAGGAGATTGCAGCTGGGAACACACATCCAATTGGCAAGGACCCAAACTCTCCATAGTCCCAGCTGAACCCCTGAATCTCCACAGGAACGCCTGGATCTCCACTATTTATTCTTCATTTCTTTTAGGCTGGAATTGTGCAGTTACACTTTCTTCCTCCTCTAGAAGTGCCACGAGTGGGCCAAACCTGGCAAGTGAGCCGTGTTCCTGAGGCAGTGCAGTCTGGAGCTGATGGATGGAGAATTGCCCTTCCCACTTCCAAACCAGAGCAAAAAGCCGTAAGTGGGATTTTTCATCCGTAAGAAACCCCTGAGAATTTCAGAGGGAATGTGCAGCTCATTCCAGGAGTGAGAAGGAAGGTCATCTTCTAAAGGATTTGGGGTTTGACAGAGTTGAGATTCCCAGTCCTGCCTGGAGCTGGAAGGGCCCCAATCAATTTCCTATTGCTTCGACCACAATTTAAAATAACAATGTTGGAAACAAACCCCAAAACCTTTAAAAAAGGCTGCTGAGGTCAGTAAGATGGATCCATGCCATCAGCACATTTACAATGTAAATAACTGAGTTCTCTTTTTAAAGAGATAATTTACCTCTTAATGCAAAGTTACAGAAGTTGTTTCACTAACACTTGGATTTTATTTGTATCTTTTACAATTCATCAAATTGTATTTTTTTTTTCTTTTTCCTTTTTATTTTTCTTTAAGTAGAGGTCCTGGCCCTCTTCCAGCCAAAGGGGAAAGGGCCCCACCAAGCCTTGTTACCCACAGACAACATGGTAAAGCTGAACACTAAAGGACCTTGGGGGCATTATTCTGGAATTAAAAAGGTGCCAGCTCCATGGACAACAGAATTATTGTTCCTAACCTGAATGATATTGAGCAAAAAGAATGAAGAACGGTGTCACTAAAGTACTACTGACGTTTGCCAAAACACCTCCAGAGTTTCACCAAGGGATCAGTCATCAAAATGTTTTGGAAATTTAAAGACCAAGGTAGCCAAAGCACACAGTGTCACTAATTGCTGGGTATGTTCTCAGCTGAAGTTGGGAGGAATGGGGTTCCCTTGGAGGGCCCACCCTGTGGGGTGGCCAGAACTCTGTCAATGGGCTCAGCCTCGTAACGGAGTCAATGAAGGGACAGTTACAGAAACCTGTGCTGTGGGACACGGGAATACAACGATCCGTGTGACAGGATTCACTCAGATTTCCCCTCAGGAGAAACCAAACCCTGTTACAGTTATAGAGGCTACAGTGTCAGAAGATTTCTGTGCTTTACCATCACTCCCAATGTCAGAAGAACTTGGGGTGCTGCAGCTGGTCAGTGTCAGTGTCACACCACTCCCAGCTGCAGGGCCCCCATTTAGGGTCCTTCAGCAACGACCACACGGAAGACTTAGGGCCCAGAGAACATTTTCCACCCAAAGAGTGCCTTAGGTTTCAGAAAGCAAAGGATTCTGGTTCACCCTGTGCCCCATGTGCGCTGCCCCGCCCCGTGGAGTTGACATGAATGAGCTGAATGGATTATTAGAAGAGGTAGCAAATGATACTGTTGAAATGTCCATTAGCACATCCTATGAGCTCCAACAAACACAAATGGGGACTCCAGAGAACCGCATGGCCTTGGATTATCTGCTTGCTGGCCAAGGAGGAACCTGGGCTATCAGGGGACGGGGATGTTGCACTGCTAGCAGTGATGGGTTTGAAGGCCAACAGTCAGGAATCACCTTGACAGAAAGAGCAGTAGAAGAGTGGCAGAAAGAAGAAAATTCTTCTTGGTGGGATTTGCTTTGTGGCTGCCAAATTAGAGGCTGCTGTGAAATGCATTCATGTCAGGGCCTGTCATCATTGCAGTGTGTGCACTTGGTGAGTTGCTGTGACACTTTGTGCTGGGAAGTGGAGTATTGGGACCTTTCTTAAAAGAGACAGTCTCAAGAAAAGAGAGGCATTTGATAAATAACAGAGAATAGCAACTATTTAGGCATGTTTTAAAAGGAACGTGAATAGCTCTGAGTAATGAAGTTAAACTGCACTTAATTGTAGAACAAGAGGAGATGCCTTTATGCCTAATACCTCAATCTAAGCTGTGTTACTGAAAGAATTATTACAAAGGTTGTAGTTGATTGTAGGTCTCAGGACCGATCAAAGTACCAAGGCCTGAACAGGTTGTGATCAAGGCCTGAACAGGCCCTGAGGCAAAGCTCACCTCTAGATGAACCTTCCAAGCAAATGTTGTATTTGTATCCACTCATTAAGGAAGCATGATTAACAACATGATCAATGCATGTGTTCCTTGATAAAACATGGATTTGTCTTTCTGTATTTAGAAACAGACAAGGCCCCATCTGGCCTTGTTTGGGGGTGAAGGATCAAAGTCAACTCCCTTGGTTCCTCCTTCAGCCCTGGCCAGGCTTTGGGAGAAAGCAGTCAGGAGAATGAAAGCAGATGTTCTCACAGTAGCAGTGATGCCAGCTTGTTTGTTTAACAGTGTAAAAGCTGGGTCCTCTCACAGCTCTAGGGTTGGAGCCTCATTGCTTGCAGAGGTGGAGGCACCTGCAGGAAGTCTGGGAGTGGCTCTCCAGTCCTTGGCTTCCCCCAGCTGATGTTTGGCTGTGGATGATGGTAAAGCCTGAGGCTAACTGCTGATGGATCTTTCCTTAATCACTCCAGGCAATCTCTGGTAGCAATGACTGGATGCATTGCTGAGCTTCTTTTGTAATGCTTTGCTAATGATGATGTGCTTTGCTGAGCTTATCCTTTTGTAATTCTTTGCAGCTGTGCATGATATAAATGACACAATTCCTTCAGTTGGTGTCTGTGTCTTTGGTGCTGACCCTGCCCACTGGTGAAACAGGGCCCCCTCCAGCCTAAGTGTTACCTAGGAAGAGAAAAGCCATCACTCCAAATGTCCCCCCTTCCTCCTTGTTCCCCCCACTTTATAACCTGAGCGTGATGCCCTATGGTCTGGGGTATCCCCGGGGTCAGTGGGGGTCACCTGTCCTGGCTGTGTCCCCTCCCAAGCTCCCCCACAGCCCCAGCCCCTCTCCAGCGTGGCCAGAGGAGGGGCAGGCCAGGCTTTGGCTCAGTGGGAGCTCAGCAAGAACAAAAGCATCTCTGTGTGCCCAGCCCTGTGCTCAGCACCCGGCCCAGCAGCGTCTCAGTGCCAGGGTCTGTGCCATCAGTCCCTGCCAGGGGTTTCCATGGCACCTGCCAGGCCAGGTGACCCAGGTGTGGTGTCCCAGTGAGGGCTGCCATGCAAACAGTGCCCAGCACTGCCCCTTTCTGTCTGCCTGACCTGGCCTTGGCCCTGGCCCTGCTGTTTGCTGCAGGTTCGGCGGCGCCTGACCGGCCCGCGCGGCACAGGGCAGGCAGCCACGGCACAGACCCACAGCAAGGGCTCCCCTCTGGCTCTGGGCAGTGACACCAGCCCTGAGCAATGGGCTGGCGCAGTGGGGTCAGTGCAGTGTCCATGGCAGCAGTCCCTTGCAATGCCCAGTGCAGGTTGGGATGATGATCCACCCTCACAGCCGGCCCAGGACAGGTGTGCGGTGCCCTTCCCCACAGCCTGTCTGCACAGAAGCACTTCCAGGGCTCTCTGCATTTCCCTTCCTTCACTCTTGAGTCACTCACACACCTCCCAACGACCCACTGGGAGCTTTGAGCTGTAAGGAGTGCAAAGCTGGTCTGTCCTTCAGGAGTGGCTCTCATTCTGCCCTGAGCCAACTCTGGATTCGTGTTCATTGCAGATCTTCCTGTGTGTCTACATCATTCCTTGCAGGGCTCTGCCTTGGGGGAAGGAACCTCCTTGGATGTACCTAGGGCTTGGCACACACTTGAGGAGTGTGTCTGTTTTAAATGGGGAAGCTTAGGAGTTTTAGATTGCTTCAAAAAATAAAAGAAGAAAACCCCTCTTTGCCTGAGTGCAGCCAGTTCTCCAAGCACAGCAGGTCCCAGGTGACTGAGCAGAGACAGGACGGGTTGGGCTATGTGGGGCAAGGATGTCCACACTGCCTCAGACCTCCAGGCACAGCTTCTCTGACTAGGCCAGACATCCTCAGGAGAGTCCCTGGGCCAATATCAGTCGATGAATGCTGCAGCCACCTCTGCTCTAAATAGAACAGTCATAAAATATACTCTTCAAAGAGGAATGTGGATTTATTGGAAGCTCTTGCAAATAGTTTTCCATCAGTATTGTAGGAAACCTCCTGACAAAGAATCTCCAGGGACTAATTACAGCAGATAATTGCAGGCCATGATTGCACAAACCTCTCAGGACCCCAAGGCAAAAGCCCAAGTCCTTTGAAAAACCTGCCGTCCCTGGGAGCATGAAGGAGGGCCCAGGGCCATTCCTGACCAAGGCTCCCCAGGGCCTCTTCCCAGCAGCTCCCTGAGGCCAGGAGTGCAGGGAGGCAGAGGCTCTGTGTAGGCAGCTCAGCTGCTGAGCAGAGCCTGGGCTGGCTGGAGGCAGCAGAAAGGCCAAGGCCTGAGCCCCAGCCCCAGGGAAGGCAGATCCTGTCCCTCCCCGCCTGCTCAGGGCTCTGCCGGGAGCACTGGCATAGGGAGGGATGCTGAGGGCAGGACAAGGGATGACAGTGCCCAGCCTGGCTGGGGCTGTGCCAGGAGGCCCCAGTGCCTCAGGACAAGGTGTCTCCTCCTCACAGCCCTTGGTGGCAAGACGCTGCTGTGCCCCAGGGCACCAAGGCCTGGCTTCTCCTGGCCACTGCCAGCCTTGCCAGGGCCCTTGGCCATGTCCAGCACAGCTTGTCCTGCACTGTCCCACAGCTGCTGCTGTGTCCCTGCAGGCTGCACACTCCCATCTCACTGCCCCCCGGGCCCTGCCCTGCCATTGCCAGCCCTGCCCTGCCCCTGCCATGCCCAGGGCATGTCTGCAATTCCCCCAGGCAATGGGTGGGGGTGGGCAAGTGTTCCTGAGGGCACAGGGAGGGGACAGCTGGGCTGGACTGACCCAAGGGATCTCCCATTCCATGCAATGTCATGGTCAGCAATAAACTGAGGGAAAGGAAGGGGATAGGGCTGGCAGGGGGGCTGTGGATATTTTTTACCAAGACATTTCTCATACAAAACATAAACTACATGTTCTTGATCCGTTCCTGCCAGAGGTGGCTGGACTGATTGTCTGCTGATGAGAATCAGCAATAGAGGATTGATCTCATTTGTTGTTTCTTTGCTTCCACCTGCAGCCTTTGCCTTTTGAGGCCCTTGCTGAGGAGGGTGTAGAAGTCCAGAAGATCAGGACCTGGTCTGCATGTCCCAAACATCAAAAACTGGATGGCTGTGGGACCAACCAAGGATTGGTGAGAACAGACAAGACTTCTTGGCAATAACACACCGTGAGGAAGAACAGACTGTGTCTGCAGAAGGGGCCATGCAGATAAAGGCAGAACTTTTCCAGGACAAACATCCTTGCTCTGGCTCCTGGGCACAAGCACGACATGGCCCAAGTGCAGGAATGAGAAGTGGGCATGGACTGTGGGGGGATCAACACCACCAAAGACCCCCAAAGCCTCTGAGCCATTTCCAGAAAGGTGTAGCAGAACTAACTGCACGTGATAAGTCATTTGCACAGAAAGTGAGACTCTTATCACCAGGGCAGGAAAAAGTGATCAGTGAAGAGGTCCTCCCACCAAGGCCAGGCACATTTGTGCCCCAGTGCCCTGGACATCCCATTGGCTGGATCAATGCTGGAACCAGGACTGGGGATCTCTTCTCTCTCTCTCATTTTCTTTCTCTCTTCCTCTCTGATTCACGTGTCTGTCTCTGTGTCTCCTGTCTCTGTCTCTCTTCCCTTTCACCTTTCCTCTTGTGCCTTTCTACAAAACCTACTGACATGCCCTTTTATAGCTCAAGGACTGACATCCCAATTTCTATGCCAAATGCATAATGAATTAAGAAGACTTTATAGGCCTTTGTGGACTCTCTGAGCTTTTTAATTTCTTTCAGCCACGAGCATCTACAAAACCTGAGTGTTTCCTTTGCCTTAAGTTTGGGAGGTCACAGAGAGTGAGGGAGAAAGTGGCTTGCTGGCCCCTGATGGCCGCACACATTTAACCCGCCAGTGTCGTTTTGCTCAGCTTTTCTCTAGCAGGCAGCATTAACCAGATGCAGCTGCGCAAGGGTTTCCAGAAATTTGGCATCATCCACAAAGGACTTGGAAGTGCATTTTGTCCCATGGCACAGGGAATATGTGAATATTCCATTGTAGTCAAGGGCTGGTCACTGCGGGATGTCACCAGGGCGTGGCTGCCAAGAGGACTCTGTTGCATGAATGACATTTGACCCTCATTGTTCAGCCAAATTCCCACTCACCCCATGTTCCATTCCTTCAGCCCATGTCTCTCCAATCTGGCTCTGAGGAGACCCAGGAGACCATGTCACAGACCCTGCTAAAGTCTGGGCAAACAACATCAACTTCTTTTCCCTGCCATGTGTGTTCTGCAGTCCCTGTCCTGTGCTGCCAGTGCCTGGAATGGCTGCAGGAGGATTTGTCACATCCCCTTCCCTGCTCAGCCTGACCAGTCTGTGACTGTCCCCATCCCCTCCGTGCCCTGTTTGCAGACTGGTTCTATGTGTGCCCTTCCCAAGTGCCCAGGACCCTCTGGGATGGCTCTGGCCTTTCCAGGGGCTTTGAGAGAGGTCTCACCGTGACACTGCCCAGCCTTCTCAACATCCCTGACACCAAAGGCCTCTGCCACATCCCTCAGTTCCAGGTCAGTGCCCAGGGCACAGCACGGCCCTGTCCAGGTTCTCAGGGTGCTTCAGAAGGGAGGCAGCTGTGACTTCTCCCTGCAGACCCACCACTCTAATGTCCCTCTGTGCAGTCTGTGGCTGTCCTGAGCATTTCCCCTGGAGCCTCCCTGCCCTGGATGTTTCTCTCCATAAGCTCATCTATAAATTGGCTGCTCCACTTTTTGTACCCCTGGGGATTGCCTCAGGCAACCCTGGCCCCTGCCAAGTCTGTCAGTCGACTCTTCTTTGCCTTTCATCCCTGGAGGTTTCTTTCTTGCCACTTGAGGTGTTGTCATGCTGCACTTCCTAGCAACAAGCTCGCCCGTTTCTCAAATGCTTTATGCAAAGGCACAGGTACACACACACACCCTCCTTCCACATGCCTGGACTACTAAGGCCCTCTCTTGGCAACTATACAGAGTGGGGAAGATGGACTATGGGGTGAACAGAGGACATCTAAACAACAAATCACAATAACATAACTATAAGTCAATAAACTTTCCTTAACATACATATAATATTAATCTCTTAATTGCGAGAGCCAAGCGTTGCATTAGCCATTTATAATAGGGTGAAGTGGCCTCAAGGCACTGTTTGTGCCACTCGAATTGTGCCACGCCCAAGTGCTGCTGATGGTTGTGATAGTAAAAGGGTTTTAAAACCATGGGGATTTAGGGTTAAAAGGAAAATTAAGCTTAGTAGGCCCTGAAAAAAAAAATACCCTAGGTACATGTAGGCCTTCTACCTTGCTAGAACTGCACCTGTGTAGCTAGTACATGATAAATGATATAACTGTTAGATGTGATGATTGTGTGGTAATTAAATATAATTACTGTTTAATCATAAGATAATCATGAGAAACTGTGGTCGGGGGCCTAAGAAAGATCACGAGAAACTCATGCTTGAACAAAGTCAATGTATACAATAGAACAATATAAGTTTAATAATTAATATGTAAGTTATATAACGATATGTTGCCTTTATGAAAGACAACCAGGGACCTGGTTCAGGTAAGGCAGCACGGCGGCCTGGTCTCGTCCAAGCCACTCGGGCTAATCAA